CCATGGCCAGCTAATTTTTTGTATTTTTAGTAGAGACGAGGTTTCACCATGTTGACCAGGATGGTCTCGATCTCTTGACCTCGTGATCCACCCGCCTCGGCCTTCCAAAGTGCTGGGATTACAGGCGTGAGCCACTGCGCCCGGCTTCTACAATTATTATTATTATTATTATTTTTTTTTAACCAAAAACACTTTTATTTTCGTCTTCAAAGAAGAAACTCTTCTTTTTCCAGGATAATCATGATTAACTTACAAAAATGAGTACACATCTTCAAAGCACTTCCCTTTAACGGGAAACTTAGCTTTATAGGATTTAAACAGAAGGCAAAAAAAAATTCCATTTTCTTGTCATTATAAGACAAAACAGAATCTAGTGTAAGCCAAGGAAACTCATTCATACTTCAGGTCCTTCTCCTCCAGGAACCAGCATTGTTATATTATTTCCATTTAGCAAAATCTGATCTAATTTAGTAATCCTTCTTCCTTCTGGTGTAATTTCAAACTCAGTGACATCTTCCAGTACCATATTGACAAAGTCATCAAATCCTAGAAAAGTACCAACAATTTCCTTATCACTCTTCATAACAATGTGAATTCTTGATCCAATACATTTGTCCACAAGCTCTAACGGCAGCAGCTGCGACGGGTTGGTAGTAGCGTTAGCCGCCATGGCCACGCCGGAAGTCAATTTTTTTTTTTTTTTTTGAGACAAAAGTCTCACTTTGTCACCAGGCTGGAGTGCAGTGTCGTGACCTCAGCTCACTGCATCCTCCGCATCCCGGGTTCAAGCAATTCTCTGCCTCAGCCTCCCCAGTAGCTGGGATTACAGGCATCCTCCACCACGCCTGGCTAATTTTTGTATTTTTAGTAGAGATGGGATTTCACCATGTTGGCAAGGCTGGTCTTGAACTCCTGACCTCACACCTGCCTTGGCCTCCCAAAGTGCTCGGATTATAGGCATGAGCCACCAAGTCCTTCCGATGAGTAGTTTGCTTTATAAAGCTATACATTCTTGTAGCCAGTAGGGCTATAAAGGAAAAGTTTTAAAAACCTGACCATTGTATCTAATTAGATGTCTAATAAGTTAGGTCTTCGATGGGGCTGTATCAGCATTGTGCACAGGATGTATCAAGAACATGAAAGGCTGTGCGTGGTGGCTCACAACTGTAATCCCAGCACTTTAGGAGGCCAAGGCGGGGAGGTTACGAGTTCAGGAGTTCGAGACCAGCCTGGCCCACATGGTGAATCCCTATTTCTAAGATACAAAAAATTAGCCGGGCATGGTGGCACACACCTGTAATCCCAGCTTCGAGGCTGGCAGGAGAATCACTTGAACCTGGGAGGAGGAGGTTGCAGTGTGCTGAGATTGCATCATTGACCTGGGACACAGGGCAAGACTCCGTCTCAAAAAAAAGAAAAAAAAGAAAAGAACATGAAAGATGACTGGGCGTAGTGGCTCATGCCTGTAGTCCCAGCACTTTGGGAGGCTGAGGCGGGTGGATCACCTGAGGTCAGGAGTTTGAAAGCAGACTGGCCAACGTGGAGAAACTCTGTCTCTACTAAAAATACAAAATAGATTAGTCGGGTGTTGTGGAGCATGCCTGTAATCCCAGCTACTTGGGAGGCTGAGGCAGAAGAATTATTGAACTCAGGAAGCAGAGGTTGTGGTGAATCGAGATCGCACCACGGCACTCCAGCCTGGCTGACAGTAAGACTTCATCTCAAAAAAAAGAAATGAAATAAGATAGGCTCAGCTTCATAGAGCAGTGACTTGGGGACTGCTTTTGGAAGTGATAGTGTCAGGCCCATTGAGTGGGTAGTAACATTCTGGAAAGGCTGTAGAATTTCAAAAGAAAGTTTGGAAGCATGGGGAACATCTGCAGGATAAAATAGCATGACATGTGAGTTAAGAGTATTTAGCTCTCGCCTCAGACTGCCTTATGCTAGGTAGTTCATGGTAATGATGAAGAAAATTAGAACTATGGGCCAGGGGTGTTGGCTCATTCCTGTAATGTCAGCATTTTGGGAGGCTGAGGCGGGAGGATTGCTTGAGCCCAGGTATTTGAGACCAGCCTGCACCAATAGAGTGAGACCTTCGGCTTTACAAAAATAAAAATAAAAAGCAATTACCTGGGCATGGTGGCTGGTGCCTGTGGACTCAGCTATTCAAGGCTGAGGTGGGAGTATCCCTGAGCCCAGGAGTTCAAGGTTTCAGGGAGCTGTTACTGCACCACTGCATTGCAGCCTGGGTGACACAGTGAGACCCTTCTTCAGAAAACAAAAATTTTAACTATAGCTAGCATTTATTGATTACTTAATTTGTATTACACTTAAGCACTATTCTAATATATACCTCATTTAACCTTCACAAAAGCCTGCAGTAGGCCATAATATTTATGAAGCAATTGATCCTTGGGTTACCAAATTGCTCAAGACTAAGATAGTTTTCCACAGTCCTTACTCTCAGTCACTAAGCTCTACTCCTCTCCTGAATGTTAGTGTTAAAAGAACTAAAACGAAGCAAAAACAAGGTAGGTATTGAATAAAAAGTAAGGAGAAACAGGCATTAGACTTTGTAAAGATTTAACCACATGGAAGTGACTAGGAATAGACCAAGATAATATAAGTATGCTATGTTTGGGTGTTTGGGTTTGGGATACCCCCAGCTATACATGATTTCAGATTAAAGGATGATCTCTGTTCTTGACTGTTACTGTGGCCAGTTAAAAATTTTATTTGGAGAAATCTCGTCTGTTTAAATCACATGTCTTACAGCTGTATCAGAATTAAATACCCAAGATGCTTTCCTTTGTCTAAGAGAACACAGATACTGTTGAATTTGAACAAATGGTTTTTAAGCATGTAGACAAACTTTCCTTATACTTGAAGTAAAGTATGGTAGCTCTCTGCCTTTGGATCTGTGGATTACTTTTCCATAAGATGTAAGATGTCTCAGATTTAAGGAAAATTAGATAGATGAGTCATGGAATTGATACTTCATTTGGACTGAGGTTGATCTTAATACTCTTTTATAAAGGTGTTGATACTGGGTGTTCTTGTTTTTTTATTTTTTATTTTTTGAGATGGAGTGTCACTCTGTCATCAGGCTGGAGTGCAGTGGTGCGATCTCGGCTCACTGCAACCTCCGCCTTCCGGGTTCAGGCGATTCTTCTACCTCAGCCTCCCGAGTAGCTGGGACTATAGGCAAGCAACACTGCTAATTTTTGTATTTTTAGTAGAGATGGGGTTTCACCAAGTTGGCCAGGATGGTCTCCATCTCTTGACCTTGTGACCTGCCCACCTCAGCCTCCTAAAGTGCTGGCATTACAGGCGTGAGCCACCTTGCCCTGCCTTGTTTTTGTTTTTTATGAGATGGAGTCTCGCTCTGTCGCCCAGGCTGGAGTGCAGTGGCGCGATCTCAGCTCACTGCATTCTCTGCTTCGTGGATTCAATAAGTTCTCCTGCCTCCGCCTCCTGAGTAGCTGAGACTACAGGCGTGTGCCACCACACCCAGATAATTTTTTGAATTTTTCGTAGAGGCGAGGTTTCCTCTTCTTAGCCAGAATGATCTCAATCTCCTGACCTTGTGATCTGCCCACCTGGGATTATGGGCATGAGGCACTGTGCCCAGGCTGATGCTATATATTCTTATATTACTGAGAGAATATCTCACACATTTTGTAGAGTGTTAATTTTCAAATCTTTCTAATTTACTTGTATTAAATTCTAAAACCACGTTTTCATTTGTGTTTTAAGACGGGAGACAAATTAACCTATAAATTTTCTTTTTTTTTTTTAGGCGGAGGTTTGACCTACAGAACCCATCCCGAATGGATCGTAATGTGGAAATGTTTATGAACATTGAAAAAACATTAGTGCAGGTAACTTGGAAACTTAGGTTATTTAAAAAGTTTTCCTTTAATATAATTTCAGTTTTAAGGTTGGCTTTATTGGATTGCCAAAAGAACAAAGGAAGAAAATATTCCGAAAGGTATTGTTTTATTATTTTTATGGGTGTTCGGGAATCAGAGCTATAATTAATTTTGTCTTTTTAAGACTATTAAAATTTATGGTGAGATAATTTATAATTTTCTTCATTAATTTTACCTAATGTATTGTTTGAATTGCCTTTATTTTATTATAATATTTTTAAATTTTTTTTGAGACAGTCTCTCTGTCACCCAGGCTGAAGTGCAATGGTTTGATCATGGCTATTCTCACTGCAGCTTTGAACTCTTGGGCTTACGTAATCCTTTCACCTCAGCCTCCCCTGTAGCTGGGAACTGCAGGCACATGCCATCACACCTGGCTAATTTTTTGTATGTTTTGTAGAGATGGGGTTTTGCCATGTTGTCCAGGTTGGTCTCAAACTCCTGAATTCAAGCAGTCTGCCTGCTTGGCCTCCCAGAGTTCTAAGATTACAGGCATGAAACCCGGAGTCCAGCCTGCCTTCATTTTATTTAGTATAAGTACTCTTCCATCCTGTTGTTCACTTGATTGAATATTTTCTTTCGATTTGTTCCATTGTTGTACCATAAATATTTGTTCCATTGTTGTACATATTATTTCCCTAACTCTATTATAACCTGGAAAAGAGAATGCTTAAATTTCCTATTTGTTTTTCCTAGTATGTTTATTGTTCGATAGTTTATGTTGATCACTCAATTAACCTTCCTGGGGAGAGGTAGCTGGCAAAAATTCAGTCAGATATTATTGTTAATTCAATATGTGAAAGTTGTTTGTCCCACAGATTCTTAGCTAGGGAAGTAATTGGATATGTTTTCTTTGTTTTTTCATGGTTTGGGGAGTTAACATACATGTTCTATCATTGCTATTTTTTTTTTCTTGGAATGGAGTTTCTTGTCGCCCAGGCTGAAGTACAGTGGCACAATCTCAGCTCACTGCAACCTCCGCCTCCTGGGGTCAAGCGATTCTCCAGCCTTGCCTCCTGAGTAGTGGGGAGTACAGGCGCCCACCATCACTCCTGGCTAATTTTTTTTTTTTTTGAGACGGAATTTTTGCTGTTGTTGCCCAGGCTGGAGTGCAATGGCACGATCTCGGCTCACCGCAACCTCTGCCTCCTGGGTTCAGGCAATTCTCCGGCCTCAGCCTCCCGAGTAGCTGGGACTACAGGCACGCACCATCATGCCTAGCTAATTTTTGTATTTTTAGTAGAGACGAGGTTTCACCTTGTTGACCAGAATGGTCTCGATCTCTTGACCTCGTGATCCACCCTCCTCGGCCTCCCAAAGTGCTGGGATTACAGGCTTGAGCCACTGCGCCCGGACACTTCTGGCTAATTTTGTATTTTTAGTAGAGAGGGGGTCTTAACAAGATGGTCTCTAACTCCTGACCTCAAGTGCCCACTCGCCTTAGCCTCCTAAAGTGCTGAGATTACAGGCATGAGCCACCACGCCTGGCATGTCATTACTGTTTTTAAGATGAACTATAATCCCCTTCCATAGTTAAAAACACAACATGAGGCTGTTAAAGTAAATTTGGGTAAAATTGGGGAGGAGGATTAATCTGGTAATATGTTATGTTATCTTGATGAAAAAGTTACTGAATTTCTTTAGGTCATGTTTCTCAACATTTTTTGTGGCAGGTGTGACTCAATGCAGAAAAGGTTATCTGGGGATGGTTTGTGTAGTGTGTAAATAATGTGATATTATTTCAAAACCAAGAGAATTTGAAAGTCTGTTCTTTTTGTCCTCAGAACAATTGTTTGACCAGACCCAACATCTACCTCATTCCAGACATTGATCTGAAGTTGGCTAACAAATTGAAAGATATTATCAAACGACATCAGGTAATAGACATGATCACTTCAGATAATTAATAATGGACATGATCACTTCATTTTGTAGTTGTGCCGGGCGCTGTGGCTCATGCCTATAATCCCAGCTCTTAGGGAGGCAGAGGCGGGAGGATAGCTTGAGTCCAGGAGTTCAAGACCTGCCTGGGCAATATAGCGAGACTCCGTTCTCCACAAAAAGGAAAAAAACAAAAAGACAAAGAAAGCATTTTGTAGTTGTAAGCCTCTAATAATAAATGTCAACCATAGTATTGTTTTGGATTTCTTGATATATTTGCATCAAAAGAAAGTTTTTTCTTGAGTTTTTTTTTTCTTTTTTTAGAGATGAGGTCTCACTTTGTTGCCCAGGCTGGAGTGCAGTCTCACTATCCTAACATACTAGCTCACTGTAGCTTTGGACTCCTGGGCTCAAGAGATCCTCCATGGTTCTTTTTTTGTTTGTTTTTTGTTTTTTGAGACAGTCTCGCTCTGTCACCCAGGCTAGGGTTCAGTGGTTCTCGATCCCGGCTCATTGCAACCTCTGCCTCCCAGGTTCAAGCAATTCTTGTGCTTTAGCCTCTGGACTTGCTGGGAGTACAGGTGTGTGCAACCACGCCTGGCTAATTTTTGTATGTTTTGTAGAGATGGGGTTTTCCCATGTTGGTGAGCCTTGAACTCCTGATCTCAAGTGATCTGGCCACCTCAGCCCCCCAAAGTGCTGGGATTACTGGCGTAAACCACTGTGCCCAGCCATGATGGTTTCTCCCTATGTTCCTAGGCTGGCCTTGAACTCCTGGCCTCAAGTCATCCTCCAGCCTTGGCCTCCCAAAGTGTTAGGATTATAGACACGAACCATCACACCTGGCCTCTTTTTAAGTTCTTAAAGTACCAGTGTTTTTTTTTTGTTTGTTTATTTGTTTTCTTCACTCACCTTTAGCTTTTAGCCTAGAGTAGTAGCATTTAATAATAAGTCATTGGAGGCCGGGCGCGGTGGCTCAAGCCTGTAATCCCAGCACTTTGGGAGGCCGAGGCGGGTGGATCACGAGGTCAAGAGATCGAGACCATCCTGGTCAACATGGTGAAACCCCGTCTCTACTAAAAATACAAAAAATCAGCTGGGCATGGTGGCGCGTGCCTGTAATCCCAGCTACTCAGGAGGCTGAGGCAGGAGAATTGCCTGAACCCAGGAGGCGGAGGTTGTGGTGAGCCGAGATCGCGCCATTGCACTCCAGCCTGGGTAACAAGAGCGAAACTCTGTCTCAAAAAAAAAAAAAACTAATAAGTCATTGGTACAGAGTCATTAGTCTTATTTTGAAGTGTGCTTATATAGACCTAAGTAGACCAGTGTATTCTGTATCACAGAACTCTACATCACAGAGATTATAAAGTCAAATAGAGTTGGTTACATAATTGTTGGTAGAAAGAAATGAAATATTACTTTCAAGTAACGCTATCTCCCCTAACCCCTCATTTTATGTATTCTGTTGACATATGTGATTTTTAATAAAGAATTGAAATCTCCCCCTTCCCTAAGCTTACTTTGTGGTTTTTTTGTTTTTTTGGTTTTTTTTTTTGGAGATGGAGTCTTACACTGTTGTCTGAGTTCTGTAGAATGCAGTGGCGCCATCTTGGCTCACTGCAGCCTCCACCTCACAGGTTCAATTCAAGCAGTTCTCCTGCCTCAGCCTCCTGAGTAGCTAGGATTACAGGCACCCACCACCACGCCTGACTAATTTTTGTTTTGTATTTTTAGTAGAGACGAGGTTTCAGTATGTTGGCCAGGCTGGTCTCGAATGCCTGACCTCGTGATCCATCTCCCTGGGCCTCCCAAAGTGCTGGGATTACAGGTGTGAGCCACTGTGCCCGGCCGCTTACTTTGTCTTGATACACATGTACTAGTAGTGTATTTTGACATTTTTTTGTTTTTTTGAGACAGAGTTTTTACCCTGTCACCCAGGCTGGGGTACAGTGGTGCAATCTTGGTTCACTGCGACCTCTGCCTCCCGGATTTAAATGATTCTCCTGCCTCAGTCTCCCAGGTAGCTGGGATTACAGGTGTCTGCCACCATGCCCAGCTAATTTTTGTGTTTTTAATAGAGACGGGGTTTCACCATGTTGGCCAGACTGGTCTTGATCTCCTGACCTCAAGTGATCTGCCCACCTTGGCCTCCCAAAGTGCTAGTATTACAGGTGTGAGTCACCACACTTGGCCAAAATGTAACTTTTATATACATCAGGAAACTAAATTTGCATGACTCATTTTATTGTAGTACTTTATTACGGTGCTGTCAAACTCAACTTGACAATATGTCTGTATTATACTTTTGTGCATAGTCCTAGCTCATGACTCAAGGCCAGGAACTGCATTGATTTTCTTGAAATAATGATAATTTGTAATGATTTTGGAAGTAATTTTAAGAAGTTGTAGTTCCTGGCTGTGCACAGTGGCTTGCATCTCTAATCACAACATTTTAGGAGGCTGAAGCCGGTGGATCACTTGAGGTCAGGAGTTCAAGACCAGCCTGGCCAACATGGTGAATTTCTATTCGCTGGGTGTGTGCATGCCTATAATCCCAGCTACTTGGGAGGCTGAGGCAGAGAATTGTTTGAACCTGGGAGAGGGAGGTTGCAGTGAGCCAAGATCGTGCTGCCACACTCCAGCCTAGGTGACGCAGCAAGACTCCGTTTAAAAAAAAAAAAAAATTTGTAGTACCCATATTACTGATGTGGATACCCAGAGAGAGAGAGATCTATAGAGAACTAGCTAATATATCCTTGAATTACTTTTTCTATATAGCAGTCTAAACCGTGTAGACAATTTTTTGGTTTATTGTCGTTAATCACTGTAGAAATAAAGTCTTTTAATAAGAAAGTTATAAGTAAAACCATGCTTTTATAATTCTTATGGAATTTGTATCTCACATCTCATAGTTCATTTGCCATGTGCTTTATTTTTATGGTTTTTGTTCGTTTGCTTTCCAGGGAACGTTTACTGATGAGAAGTCAAAAGCTTCCCACCACATTTATCCATATTCTTCCTCACAAGAGGATGGTAAGTTGATTTTGCGTTATCAACGGGTAAGCTCATATATCATGTGGATTTTATGTCGTAGCCTCAAAGACTTAAACAGAATAACCAGTTTTTAATTTATTTTTATTATTATTTTTTCTTTTTGAGAACAGGGTCTCTGTCACCCTAGCTGGAATGTAGTAATGTAATCTCAGGTCACTGCAACTTCCACCTCCCAGGTTCAAGTGATTCTCCTGACTCAGCCTCCAGAGTAGCTGGGATTACAAGCACCCGCCACCTCACCCAGCTAATCTTTTGTATTTTTAGTAGAGATGGGGGATTCATCATGTTGACCAGGTAGTCTCAAACTCCTGCTTCAGGTGATCCACTTGCCTCAGCCTCCCAAAGTGCTGGGATTACAGGCATGAGCCACTGCACCCAGCCAGAAAAGATATTTTTCAGTATTAAATAAATCCTACAGATTAAATACATAGTTTCCTTTAATGAAGAATTATGCCGAACCGCCCTTTTAATTGACTTAACTGGGCTATAAGCAAACTAATTTCCTGCAGCCTAACTTTCTACTTGTTAGACTGTTATTTCTTTGTTGCTAATCATCTGGATGTTAAGACTAAGCATGTCTTACATATTAATCTGATCAATATCTGTGATGTCTCTTGTATTTTGAAAATTAAGAGACTTGTAAATTAGAGGCATATCTCTGGGAAAAGGGTGGCTTACAGGGCCTAACAGCAGGGTATTATTTTGGTGAATTTACAGTGATTTAGTTTCTAATTTCAGCTCTTCTTTTCTGAAAGTTTATTTTCTCAGTGGCCAGAGTTTATCTGACCTATAGAGACTGAGTTGTGCTAACCATTCTTTCAAAGGACTGCATTTGGAAACATAGTTAATTTGGAGTGAGAAGTAGATTTTCTATGGGAATGCAGTAGTCAGATCTTCTGGTAAGCACAACTTATCCCTGTGGGACATTTATATGAATAAGTTATATCAGATTTGAATGGCTAATTACCCCCTACTGAGGGGTAAAATACTGAGTATTTTGTCCTTACCACTTGCAATTTTGGTAGAAGTCAGCAATGAAAACAGACAATCCCTATATACTTGCTAAATAATCCATCAGGGAAGGTTTAAAGAACAATTAAAGAAGGATTAAAGGATTAAAGAAGGTCAAATAAGAGATTACAGTGTAAATAGACATCTCTGGAACTGAATAATATTGAAATGAATAATACAATAGAACATTAACTTTTAAAAGGCGTAGTAGAAGCTGTGCCTAGAGGAACATTTATATCTTTATATTAGGAAAGGAGAAAGGTTAGAAACCAGTGGACCAAACATCTTTCTCAAGAAATTAGAAAATACCAAATTAGACCTTTTCTAACGAAAAAAGGAAAGAATAAAAGAACAAAAATTAATGAAGTAGAAAGTACACATTTTGAGATATTCATCAATGTTACATGGTCCTTGTGAAAGACTAATAAGGGCCTGGCATGGTGGCTCACACCTGTAGTCCCAGAACTTTGGGAGGCCGAGGCAGGCAGATCACCTGAGGCCAGGAGTTTGAGATCAGCTTGGCGGACGTGGTGAAACCCCTTCTCTACTAAAAACACAAAAAATTAGCTGGGCATAGTGGTGGGCACCTGTAATCTCAGCTACTCGGGAGGCCAAGGCAGGAGAATTGCTTGAATCCAAGAGACGAAGGTTGTGATGAGTTAAGATCACACCACTGCACTCCAGTCTATATGAAAGAGTGAGATTCCGTCTCCCCCAAAAATAATAATAAAGTACACAATTGAAGTTTTTTAAAAGATATTTACAGAGGCCGGGCGCGGTGGCTGAAGCCTGTAATCCCAGCACTTAGGGAGGCCGAGGCGGGTGGATCACGAGGCGAGGTCAAGAGATCGAGACCATCCTGGTCAACATGGTGAAACCCCGTCTCAACTAAAACTACAAAAAATTAGCTGTTTTGTGTAGCAGCTTTATTGAGGTATAATTCACATAGCATACAGTTTCCCCACTTAAAAAAAAAAATTAAAAAAAAAAAAAAAAAGATATTTACAGAGTTGTACAGCCATCACTGTTAAAGCAATAAACACATTTTGAAATTAAAATAAACCCGTATATATTAGCAGTCACTTTTCATTCTTTTCTCACCTTAGGTCTTGACAGCCAGCAGTCTGCTTTCTTACTATATGAATATATCTGTTCAGGACATTTTATAGAAATGAAAGCATATGACATACTGTCTCTTATGTCTCATTCTTTTTTTTTTTTTTTTTTTTTTTTTTTTTTTTTTTTTTTTTTTTTTTTTTTTTTTTACGGAGTTTCGCTCTTGTTGCCCAGGCTGGAGTGCAATGGCGCGATCTCGGCTCACCGCAGCCTCCGCCTCCTGGGTTCAGGCAATTCTCCTGCCTCAGCCTCCTGAGTAGCTGGGATTATAGGCACGCGCCACCATGCCCAGCTGATTTTTTGTAGTTTTAGTGAGACGGGGTTTCACCATGTTGACCAGGATAGTCTCGATCTCTTGGCCTTGTGATCCACCCGCCTCTGCCTCCCAAAGTGCTGGGATTACAGGCGTGAGCCACCGCGCCCGGCCCATTATGTCTCATTCTTTTCATTTAGCATAACGTTTTCAAGGTGAATCTGTTTGATATGGTATTCCCTTTTTTATTCTGGTAAAAACATAAAATTTATCGACTTGATCATTTTTAAGTATACAGTATAGTAGTATTAAGTATATACATCTTGTTGTGTAGTAGATCTTTTTTTTTTCCTTTGGAGGCAGAGTCTTCCTCTGTTGCCTAAGCTGGAGTACAGTGGTTCCGTCATGGCTCCCTGAAGCCTTGATCTCCTGGGCTCACGTCATCCTCCCACTTCAGCCTCCCAGGTAGCTGGGAATAGCGGTTTAGAACACCATACATGGCTAATTAAAAAATTTTTTTTGTTGAGAAATGGACTCACTGTGTTGCCAAGGCTGGTTTCAAACTCCTGGGCTCAAACGATCCTCCTGCCTCACTTAGTCTCCCAGTGTGTTGGGATTACAGGTGTGAGCCACTGTGCACAGTTATGTGCAAGAGATCTTTAGAACTTTCTCATCTTGCAGAACTGTTACTCTGTACCCATTGAACATCTCTTTCTCTTCTCCTAGCACAGGGATGTCCAATCTTTTGACTTCCCTGGGCGATACTGGAAGAAGAATAATTTTTCTTGGGCCACACGTAAAATACACTAATGCTAACAATAGTAGATGAACTTAAAACACACACACACAAAACTCATAGTGTTTTAAGAAAGCTTATGAATTTGTGTTGGGCTGCATTCAAAGCCATCCTTGGCCCCACGTGGCCCATGGGTCTTGGGTTGGACAAAATTGGGCTACTTCTTTTGACTGCCCTTCTGCTTTCTATTTCTAAGAGTTTGACTACTCTAGATACCTAATATAAGTGGAATCATTTAGTGTTTGTATTTTTGTCACTGTCCTGTTTTACTTAGTACAGTGTCCTTAAGATTTATTTATGTTGTAGCATGTGCCTGTATTCAATTATATTTGTATACCATGTTTTATTTATTCATCCATAGATGGACATTTAGGTTGCTTTTGCGTTTTGGCTGTTGTGACTACTGTTGTAATGAACATGGGTGTGCAAATAGCTCTTCAACATCCTAGTTTCAGTTCTTTTAGGTCAATATCCAGAAGTGGTATTGCTAGATCGTGTGGTAATACTGTTTTTAATTGGTTTTAGGAAACTTTCATAGCTGCTATATCATCTTACATACTCATCAATGATGAACAATGGTTCTATTTCTCTGTATTTTTTTTTCTGTTTTGTTATAATGGTCATCTTAACAGATATAAGCTGATATCTCATTATGGTTTTAATTTTCATTTTCCTGATGATTAGTGACATTGAGTATCTTTTCATATGCTTATTGGTCATTTGTATATAATCTTTGGAGAAGTATCTACTCAAGTGCTTTTTTCGTTTTTATTTTTTGAGATGGAGTTTCATTCTTGTTGTCCAGGCTAAAGTGCAAAGGCGCGTTCTCGGCTCGCTGCAACCTCCATCTCCCTGGTTCAAGCAGTCCTCCTGCCTCAGCCACCCAAGTGGCTGGGATTACAGGTGCCTGCCACCATGCCTTGCTGATTTTTGAATTTTTATTAGAGACGAGGTTCCATCTTGTTGGCCAAGCTGGTCTCTAACTCTTGACCTCAGGTGATCTACTTGCCTTGGCCTCGCAGAGTGCTAGGATTACAGGAATGAGCCACTGCACCCGGCAGTATCTATATTTTTAACAAACAAATACTCTTGTATTCCCAGCTTTTTGGGAAGTCAAGGAGGGTAGATCACCTGAGGTTGGGAGTTTGAGACCAGCCTGATCAACATGGAGATCAAGCTGGCTATAATCCTAGCTACTTGGGAGGCTGAGGCAAGAGAATCGCCTGAACCCAGGAGGTAGGGGTTACGGTGAACCGAAATTGCGCCATTGTAATCCATCTCAAAAAAGAAAAATCAAAATTTTTATCAAAGTCAGCTGTGGTTATGAAAGATACTTTTTTTTCTTTTTCTCATAAAAGTACACAGTCTTTGACAATGGAATCAGTATTCTGAAAGGCAGCTTTTACTAGTTAAAACACCAAGAAACTCTTGGCAGGACAGGACAGGTTAGTTTATGTAGTGGGGATTTTTTTTTTTTTTTTTTTT